TTTTTTTTTTTTTTTTTTTTTTTTTTTTTTTTTTTTTTTTTTTTTAATATCTTGAATTTCAAATATCTGTTATTATGAATCTTGTACATGTTGATGATCTTATATTTACTAGTTATAATTTCATCCTTCTTTAACTCTTGATGGATATGCAGAAGAAAAATACTACTCTCGTTTGGATCAAGTGAGTGGGTTATTGTTTTTGCTGTCGGGTTGTATTCTCTTAGGTCCATTTGTTAGTCAAACCAAATGGAGATGATCTTGCACGAATTGGGTTAGCCCACATCAAGCCTTTTGCTCTTCACCCATGGCTAAATTTGGGCCTCTTTTCAAGTCTGATTGCGTTCTCATGACCAATCCAATCTCTTCTGCCTTACACATGGTTCCCAGCAGTATCTCTATAATAACCCATGCCAAACCTGATATTCACTCTACTATTTACAAACTTGGAGAATTGTCCACTTTCCGTTTTCCCTTTTCTTTCAGCTTTCTTTCTTGTTTTCGTGCTGAGGCTTTTTCTCCATGTTTTTAAAAGGCGAGGAGAAGGTTTTACAATTCTGTAAAGAGATTGTAAAGAAGGTTTTGTATTCATCTCCAACCTATGTGGAGCCCTCCAATCCACTTCCTTCGAGAACCCAGTGTCCTTGTCGATACACCGTTCTACTTCTTTCTAGAGGTTTCCACATAAAGAAGGTTTTGTTATCCTCCCCAATCGATGTGAGACCCCCCAATTCACTCCCTTCAGGGTACAACATCCTTACTGGCACATCGTCTCGTGTCACCCCCTTTGGGGCATAGCCTCCTCGCTGTCACTTCACTCTATGTCTGGCTCTGATACCATTTGTAATGATCAAAGTCCACTGCTAGCGGATATTGCTCGAAGGTATAGTTAAAAGTGACTAAAGTGTCGAACAAATTGGTATACTTTGTTCGATGGCTCTAGAGAAAGGAGTCGAGCCTCGATTAAGGGAAGGCCCTTGAGGCTTATAGTGTACTTTGTTCGAAGGAGGATTGTTGAGGACTATTAGGAGTGAGTCCATTGATTAATTTAGTGGAAGATCGCGAATTTATAAGTGAGGAATACTATCTCTATTGGTACAAGACATTTTGGGGAAACCCACAGCAAAGCCATGAGAGCCTATGCTTTTTCTTTCAAAAGCTTCCCTCCAAGGTATTTAAAACGTGTTTGATTGGGAGAGGTTTTCACGCTCTTGTAAAGAATGCTTTGTTAAAGAATGCTTTGTTCTCCTCTCCGGCTGATACAGGATCTCACCCATGTCTTAATGGGAGTGTTGAGGTATCTTTTGCGCACTATGATTCTTGATATTCATAATTAGCCTGTTCATCAGTTCGGTCTCACCAGTTTTCCTGATGCTAACTGGTTTGCTTGCATAGTTGACCACAAACCTTATCATGGGTTGTGCGTTTAATAGCGATACCTTGTTCTCTTGGTCCTTAAATTTCTCTGTCTGTTCCATTTTAGAATCTGAATGTCGTGCACTTGCGCGTGCCATTCAATATCTTGATGTGATAATATGGTACCACCGCATTAGATTCCAATTATGTGTTTCAGGCCCATCCTAAACCCAATGACATCAATTTTCACATTAGTTTGTTATCAAATTCTCTGTAGATTGGAAGTTCATCAAATTTCTTATTTAGCTCAGTGTCTTGTATCTTGTGCTTCAAATGTCAGATTCTCTTCAATCTCTCTGTATTTGTAGGTATGGTCTTGTTCTTTATCAATATTTCTGGCCAGACAACCAAAGCTGTAGAAAATCCCAAATAAGGTTTCATATCAAAATCACAGATTTCTCTATAACTTCTGTTCATATTTTTGAGATGGATGTGTTAAATAGTCTGATTAAGCCTCGTTGCTTTACCTTTTTTGGGCTCAAGGCCAGCAGACGTTCGGATTCAGGTGGGAGTGGTAGATTCTCTCATCATATTGTATGGTTGATACTATATGGTATTTTTACTTTACCGAATAGGATCAGCATACTAGTTACACGATTTTTCTTATATCATATGATTATTGTAGAGCTTATACTAATTTATACTCCTGGATCTGATTTTTTTAGAGATATCCATCTGATTTTTAGAGACCCCTCCAAATAGAGGGAAATTATGGTAAAAATGAGGAATGAGGAGGAAAGGGAAGGGAAGAGATTTTTCCATATTAAGTAAATGGGATAAGAAATGGGAATTATATTCTTTGTCTCATTCCAGACTCCGGCCAAATGTCTTCCATCCCCACTTCTCACCATAGCCTTCTCTAAGTGAAATTTTATGAGCTATCATTATAAATAGATTGTTTATCTCAAAATAGTCTCTCTAATAAGGAGCGTTGGTTGCAATTTAGGTCGGGAAAAATTTTCAGTTGCATACTTGCCGAATATAACACCATGTTTTCCATGGCAAGAGATTCTAGAGGTTGCTGAGAGCTTTTATTACATTAATGGTCTGTTTCCAACTTGGTTATTTCCATTTTCACTTAACACCTTCATAATTATTATTTTTTTTAAAAAAAAAAACTTAATTTTTGTCATAGGCTTTATATTGGTGTCTTGTAGCTTGTTTATGTAACTAAATTTATCATTTAACTAGAAAAAAATTAATATATTATTTGGTAAACTTTATTATTAAAAGAATTATTAATTGGCGAAAGAAAAATGTAAACAAAACATAAGCAAGTTGAGATGTGGGCCAGCCGATGAGAGCCGAGCCGCCAAGAAGGTGTCAGCCAGATAATTTTAGATGCCATTGCTTCTTTTACATCAAAGCCATCCATCACATGCCACGTGGTGATTCTTGATTTGTCTGTGAAGAATTATCTTCACTCTCTCACCAAGTCAGTTCTCTATTTTACTATTTCTCCGACGGTACAACGTTTCTTCCTTTCTTTTCTCTCTCTGGATCCGAAATCGGCATTGTCTGAACCCTAAATTTCTTGGGGCTTTCACTTCGTAGATCGCGATAATGGAGATGGGGACCTCTTTCTATTTTCTACCATTCTGAAAGGTTTAGGTTCTCTTTTCTTAGTTGTTTGATCCTCAAATTGGATATTTATCGTAAAATTTCTTACAGATGTACCTTCTGCACGATTTACTTCTGGAACCTGTTTCTTGTTTGCCGTTTTTCCTCTTCCTCCCTTTTATCACTATATTTATGGATCTGGATCCAACGCTACAGGATTTGAGCCCTAATTTTCGTTGTGCGTACTCTTAATGAGCCGGTAACATTAGCTGCCACTTGTGTTAATCTGCTTTAGGTTTTGAACATTTTCTTCTTTTTTGCTGTGATTTTATCCTGTATCCCCTACACTGCTGTAGTTTTGGGGATCCAATGTTTTAAAATCTGTGATCTGAGTATCCTGGGCATGATTTAGCGGAGCAGCAAAGAGATGCGATTGAGCCCCGAATCTATTTTCCTTTTGGTTTTGTTTAGAAACAATTGTCGTTTTCTTGCATGGCGAAGAATTTGGATTGAATTACCTCGGTTTATTTTTATGTGCACAGTTTGCTTACTGTATATCTCGATCTGATGTTGATGATTGTTTAAGTAGTTTAAGTACTTTGGAATTCCCATTTCCATATTGTATCGAGGTCACTACGCTCTATGTATGACTCATTGTTTTGGGTGTATAATGCTTAGTTTGTAGACTTGGTGGCTGGTTTCTAACAAATCTAGTTTAATGCCCGCCCAAACTTGTCTTGATCAGAGTATAGTACCCAAGACTAATTCATAGCAGTGAATGGTGTCGGGTGCGAAGTCTCAGTTAAATTCGAATTGATGGCCATTTATGCTTTGTGCTCATAGGCATGTAATACTTGGTTTGTAGATCAGATTGTAGGTTTCTATCATGTTTAATTTGATACCCTAAACTTGTGTCTTTATCAGAGGATTCTACCGAGAACTAACTCATTCTTTAAGTGAATACATATTTAGATGGTGGTGGGTGATAGTCTCGGTCATTTGAGTTGATGGTCAATTATGCTTTGCATCACCCCTGGGGGGAACTTATAGATGGCTTACTTAGAATATGTTTTGTTTCAGGTTCCTCCCCTGACCCTCTGCAACTTTTATTTGTTGCTGTACTTTGTTCACAATTAATTGATTTTTTCTTCTTTGAATGTTTAATGTCTTCTTGTATGAGGGATGATTATCACATGTGGAATAGGTGAATAAAGGATTGTACAAGTGAATTAGCATGCATAAAAAAAGAGAAAGCTGGTGCAAGTTTGTGACAATGAACTTAGGATCTGAGGCTCAGAAGGCTAATATTATTGTTATTATGCGGTGTATGCTTTTAATAGCATTGAGTTCCTTACTATTTATCCGGTAAAAAAAATAATAATAATAAAATAAAATAAAACCATTGAACATTCCTTCCTATCTTTTCCCTGAAAATTTTCATGATTTTATGGCATGTTGTCTCTTCCTTGGCTCTTGCTGGTAACTCTCAGGTACTTAGTACATGGTGTTAGATTCTTTTGTTGTTCTCTTTATAGATTTCTTTGTACGTTTGTTCTTTGGCAGTCTCCATGAATGCTGTTAATTGTAACTAACAGCGTTAGCAGTTGAATAGCTTATAGTAGGGGCATTTTTTCCGTTTCTTTTCTATGGTCTTGAAGATTATTGACCAGTTTATTCTCTTCAATCCACAGCCATCAGGAAGAGGCTCATGTGAGTTGCTTGCAATTAGACAGCTTTGTATTTGTTGCTTCGGTTGGAATATTGCACACTCCTTGGTTCATTTGATATGAACAAAATGGGTAAGTGGAAAGGTTGTGGAAAACTAGGACGACTGGTGCCAAGAGGTGGTTCTATGACTTCTTACAAATATGCTCTTTTGTTGTCACCTGTTGTCTCTGTCTGGGATTGCATTGTCAGGAAAATGAGGTATTCCTACAGACCTGAGTGGGTGTAGTTTTTAGGATAGTAAAATTATAGTAGATTTATATATATATATATATAAAAAAAAGTAATCCACTGTAGATTTTATAGCATCATGATGAAAGGATGGAAAAACAATTACGAGGATATATATACTACTTACAACTAGTTCTTTGAAAAAGAGATTGAAAAGTTTAGTTAGGTTATGGCTAGTTTTGTGGCTAGTATGGGTAATAAAGGACAGCCTGTCGTGAAGAAAGCAAAAAAGAAGCAGGTGAAGGATGAGTTGGATCGTCAGAAACAAGCTGAGAAGAAAAAGAGGCGGTTAGAAAAAGCGCTTGCTACTTCAGCAGCTATTATATCTGAACTTGAAAAGAAAAAACAAATGAAGAAGGAAGAACAGCAAAGGCTAGATGAAGAAGGTGCTGCTATTGCTGAGGCTGTTGCTCTGCATGTCCTGATTGGTGAAGACTCAGATGACTCGTACAAGATTCTTCTAGAAAACGACGGTCTCAACCCTTGGGAGTGCCCTGGGCAGTTTGACCACGTAATGAGTGTTACAAGACCAGACATTCCAGTGCAGGAGTTTGGGAGATGTACCACCCTTGATGGGACTGGTTGGACTTCTAACATCGATAGATTTGGATCAATGTGGCATGGTTTTGGGAGCGATTATTGGTCGGTCTCTGCTGGACATTATGCTGAAGATCACCGTGCATTATGTTTCAAGCAAGTTGATGGAGCTGTAAGTGAGATTTCTGCTGGCATTATAGCGGCGCAGGCTGTCTCATCACTTCATATTACGGTAGATGGGGATGAAGAATTCAACGCCCTTAACAGAAAGCGAAGGGGTATGTAAAATTACTTCGCATGTTTGAAATTGTGGTAATATGGTGTTCTGGTACATGCTCTCATAATTGTTTGCGTGTGGAAAAAAGATGTTTTTGAGGGAGTTCCAAGCTGTTCTTATGGACCTTAACCTCGCGAATTCGACCTTCTTGAGTAATGCCTTGGCGTGCTCCAAGGGCACGCTCGGCAGCAGTTGTTCTCAAATGTGCATTCGGCCAAGCCCGCTCACTGAGATCATCAATCCTGTCTTTGTTGAATTGTATTTTATATGACCTTTGTATTATAGAAAAATGTTTTGGCTTCAACGACTTTAACTGGATTGCCTTTTCTGCTTGGAAGGGATTGAATGCTGAAAGTAGTTATTCATCCACGTAGAATAATAATCTTTAATGCCTGCCATAAATTATTCTCTGCTCAAAATGGATCCTTTTTTTTTAATAGAAAACCAGTGATTTATATTTGCGGACATTTGAGAAACACTTTTCAAATGCGTTGGCATGAAATAATTTTGGTAGAGCATAACATAAATTATGCAATACTAAAAATATAAATCAGTTGAGAAGCGAAGAAATGGGTTGCATTATCTATAAAATATCAACTTGCAGGGTTCTGCACAGAATATCATCATACACGATTCCCACTTATAAAACGCACACAGAACATATATATTTCTCAGTGATAAAAATGAAATTTTACACTTAAAAAAACAAATGAACCTAAGATCATCAACACAGATTTCCACTTTTACCTAACAATGTTTTCACATGTCTTGATGCGCTCGTGAATTGAGCAATATTGGTGTCTCTTCATTTGCTTTGCGTTGTTGCTCTGCTGCACCTTCTTCAACTTCATTCTCTACTTCTGAACTACTCGATGGTTTGGCACCTGTGGTAATAAGATTCTTAAACCATGCAGCTTGAAATCTAGAAGTACCTCTATTTGAGTCATCTGTAGACTCTGTGGGCGATATGACATTGTTCGTGGCCCCTAGAATAAAACGGTAAGCCACTTTGCTGGCCGATATGATCTCCGTTTTCGCTTGCTTGAACTGCAACAACCCCATCAAAACCAACAAAGCAAGTTTAGTTCATTTCATTACACAACTTATAATTACCCAACCCAACGCATATACACAATGTCAATAACATCTTATTTTCATCTCTAAAAAAAAAAAGAATACTGTCTTTAGGTAATGAGTCTTAGGAACATTAAAACCAAAAACAACAAAATCTTAGACGTTGGAAGTTACACCTAAAGTCATAGGAATATTTGCATGCAGATCATTCGTATATTAGCCCTTGGGCAATGGATCGATCATCCCTACACTTCAAAAACCTAATAGCAACAAAGATTAGTACTGCCTTTCCAGAAAAGAAAGATTTGTAACAAAAATAAGCCTAGATGCAAAGGGCTGAGCAATTGTAAGTAGTGGTAAAATTCCCCTTAAAATATAGATGTCATAAAAGTACTTCGTTCCAGAAAGAGTCATTTCGACATGTAAAATGTTATGCAATAAATGATGAAGCGTAAATCTTACACGAACGGCTGTGTTTCCAGCTACTTCCAATGCAGCATCACCAGCGTTGGCAAACCGATTAACCCAACCTACAACAGGATAAGCATCATCAGACTTCTTCTCCCAAAAAATAATCAACATCCACTTGTTAAAGTATTTGCCAAAATAATAACTCCATTTCAAAGAAAATAGTCTCTACTAGTCTATGTCCATTATTTCATCCTACGACATCAATGTAAAGTCAAGAGCTTCAAATATTTAATTATACATCCTTAGATGCTTTCAGGTCTAAACTTCTAAATGTTTTCTCACCTCCATCACTTGTAACAAAGATTATACACAAGATATGGAGAAATAAGGAAAAAGGAAACCAATATCAGTCAATTATTAGGAGATGAAATGTCTAGGAAAAAGTAACAACTTTTATGAAATGCAAAGACAAAAATAAGAATGACAGCGAAGAGAGTATAACAGTTAGTTTAGTAAAAAGAAAACAAGAATAAAGAGACAGAGAGAGACCTAAAATAGCCAGAAAATGAAGATGTATTTGATAAGATCTATGTTTCAAATAAGCCCCAAACTCAGTTATGTGCACGCTCAAAGATGTAAAATAGAAGCCTGTTATTTTAATGGGGTTTTAAAATGTTCTGTTTGCCTTTCTGCAGAGTTGAACCTCAGACTAGGCCCAAAGCACGTGCCTCAATATCTCTTAAAGACCAATAGTGTACTTATTATCGACATGCTTAATGAGCTTTTTTTAGCGATAAAAGCCACTCATCATCAAAAGTGATGTCATTTAAAACTAGAACAACAAACAGAAATATTACATTAAAACCGTAAATGAGAGAAGGTTAACATGCTGACATGAACTTGGAAACCTAATAGACGTAAATGAGTTTCTTTCATTATGTCCATAAAACATCAGGCATAATAAATCTAGTTGATTCCTCAAATGCACACAGAAATTGTCTCAGAACAAAGATCTTATTATTATAGATCATGATAGTACGAACACAGATAACATTACCTGGAAGTTTTGATACACTGAGCATTTCACAGAACTGATCACAAAAGTGGTTACAGTTTCTTGAAAGTAAGTCATATGAACTTCCAGGCCACTCTCTACTAAGTTCCCTTAAAATCTGATTCACCTTGAAAATTGAACAGTTTGTTTTACCAAGGTTAATACTTTCACGATATGTGTACATCGGATTCTGTCCAGAAGGGCAACTGAAAACTCCAGTTCCTTGCTCACAAAACCCAAAAGACCATTCATCATCTCCATAAACCTGTAGTGCATAGCACAATTAGTCTAACACCCCGTCAACCATAATAGACATAAATCTGTGTAGGGAAATATCGTTAGGAGAATGTGATTGGCAAAGAGTACAATAGTGGAAGCTTCATACACCTTTGCAAATTCATTTCAGAATAATATTTCATCGCTTCTATGAAGAAATCTTAACTGCAAAATCTACACATTGTTTGATAGCTAAACTCTTACGGAAGAACGCCATAATCTGTAGGAATTAAACGGATGAAATAACAAAATATCGTGGAAACTACCAAATGTTGCTGAAACACATTGGCAACCAGAATGTCAGAGTAGAATCTATGATTATCCATGGCGAGAATGGGAGTGAAAAGTAGAAAATTACTACACGATCTATTGCAAACAATATCACTCGTCTTATGAGATAAAATATATAACGATATCTCACAATCTAGAGTGAACCAGAGTCCAATATCTTCTGGATAAGAACAAATTCTAATTTCTATCACGAAAAATAGAACTAACATACTTTCTCAAAAGTCTTAGATGAACTGTAACACATTACATCCTTAGTAGGTATCAAATCTTTACCTCCATTAAAGCCAATGTCAACCTAAATCAGAGCAACACGTAGTAAACTACTGGATCATTAAGCAGACACTAACATGTAAATACGAAGAGAAAACATCAATACTTAGTCTACATTAACATGTAAACACGAAGAGAAAAACAGAGGAGAAAGCGGGAAACCTGAACAGCGCTATGGAAGATACCGCCTAGACCAATTCCATCCTTGAAGATCTTGTTGATATTAACAATTGTATTGTTGGTCTTATCTGATCCGCTATTCGTGACGTCGTATATATGCAGCATCACGTCAGTCATTTTTTCAAGAAAAACGCAAACAAAAACCCTAGACTGTAAACCTAGTCCTCCTCTTCTCACAGAATTTGAAACAAAATTATCCTAACCCTAAATCTACCACCGGTATCTCCTGAAACTTGCCTCGCAATGTCTCTCAGTTCGAAGAATTGAATTGGATTCAAATGAAATCAAAAGAACCCTTCGACCACCGCCATCTCTCCACTTCACACCATGATTTGCTCTTCGCGGTCTCTGATTTCAAAATCTTTTCGCCTCGAAAATCGAAATCTCTTTCTCCAATTCCTCCTTTTCTTTCTTTAAACTCTAAAAAGACGAATTCGAATTTAGATTATTCTTGAAGTATTTCATCTTTCTTTTAATTATTCTTCACAACTCTGCAAAATCACCTGGATCTGAGAAATATGTTACGTTTAAAATGTCTCTTAAAATGTCTCTTAATTTCCTAATACATTAAAATGTCTCTTAAAATCACCTAGATTTTTTTTTAATATTTAACTTAAAATGTCTCTTAATTTCCTAATACATTAAAATAACCAAAATATCCTCGTATTTCACTTTTAAATTTTATCGTGAAGTTCTCATTCATTATTCTACCGTAATTACTGACTACTTTGATGACAATCGTCACCGTCTATTTTTGTGTCTATCACCTACCTCCAGTAATTATAATTAATTACAATTACTACGATAACCACTCTAACATACGATATTTTATCGGTCATAAAGTTTTAAATATAATTTGGATCTTTTTAATATTTTATGATAATTTGACATTACCATATATAAATATTTTGAGTGTAAAGTAAGCTAAATTAACTTTTATATTAAAAAAATACTTCAAAAAATGTAAATAAATGCATACATCATTTTACTTTTAAAAAAATGTATTTAAAATTTTAAAATAAAGAATTGAATAATAATATCCTTTTTTATTCAAAATGATTGAAGAAATAGGTGTAACTACGAAATTGCCCTTGAGAATATGAAAAATTACAGAAATGGAAAGGTGAAGCACAGTTAGCGCGGCAGTCGGTGCCAGGTTGCAGGGGAGATGATGGGTAATAAGGTCATTATCTGAAATGAGTTGGACGAGTGGGTCCCACATGCTCGTGCCTTCGTTAGTCTTGTCCTTTAATGTACCGATATTTTTCAAGATTTGTTAAATGAAAAAAAAAAAAAAAAAAAAAAAAAAAAAAAAAAACAAAGAAGAAGAAGAAGAAGAAGAAGAAGAAGAAGAAACTCCAGCTCTAGGGAGTTACAAAACTAAGGCTTCCATCCTTAGGGTCCTTGTTTTTCCATGCAGTCATTCTAGTAAAAACTTTGAATATAGGCTCCCTCAAAAGTTTATAAAATGAAAGCAAATGTCTAACAAAAACAAGTTTCTCAAAAGGAAAGTAGTCATATCTTACAGATTGCTCACATCACCTCTATCCTTGTCAAATACAGCACCATCAGTTTGATGAGTATTGTCTGAAAAACTATAACCTTATACTTTAGTTTATCCTTAGAATAGTCTCCAATTTATTACTAGTAATCCATTTTCATCTTGAATCGTCTTCGGATGCTTGTTCTTAAAGCTTCAATTCTTTGGGTGGGATTTCTTTTGGGTTTTTTTTTCCCCTTCTTCTGTGGGTTCCCTCTCCAAAGCCCTCTTTGTTTTCTTCCTTGTGGAAGGTTAGAGTTCTGAGGACGGTTAAATTCTTTGTCTAGTACATTTTGCATTGGAGGATTAAGACTATTGAATATTCAGAGTTTTTTTCCCATGTTGTTGGATCTGTAGTGGTGTTTTGTGCAAGTGTGCTTTAAGAGTTTGGATAGTATTCTATGGAGTTTCTATTTATATACCTTGATTTGGGGCACTTTTTTTTTTTTTTTTTTTTTTTT